CTCTCTCTCTCTCTCTCTCTCTCTCTCTCTCTCTCTCTCTCTCTCTCAGGCGTTTCCTAAGTGTGACTTCCTGTTGGACAACGAGGTTCAGGGCAGCGGCTTCTATCTGCCGGAGCTGGACGAGCCTGAACACTGCAACGCCCAGAACACGGCACTGTGGGAACTACACACACTGCAGGTACTACTACGCACACTGTGGGAACTACACACACTGCAGGTACTAATACGCACAATGTGGGAACTACACACACTGCAGGTACTAATACGCACAATGTGGGAACTACACACACTGCAGGTACTAATATGCACAATGTGGGAACTACACACACTGCAGGTACTACTACGCACACTGTGGGAACTACACACACTGCAGGTACTACTACGCACACTGTGGGAACTACACACACTGCAGGTACTAATACGCACACTGTGGGAACTACACACACTGCAGGTACTAATACACACACACTGCAGGTACTACTACGCACATTACAGGTACTACTACACACACTACAGGTACTACTACACACACTACAGGTACTACTACACACACTACAGGTACTACTACACACACTTGTCCCCCATACAGAGACACTACCACCCGGTGATCCGGAGGATGGCGCTCCATCTGTCTCACGGAGCTCCCAGTGACGGCTCGGCGTCTCTCGGAGTGGAGCTGAGCCGCAGGTTCGTCTTAAAGGGACAGTACCCTCATTTTATGTCTTCATGTTCTTTTAAACGTGCCTTTATTTCACCGGTGTGTTGACTTCCTGTCCAGGTCTCCGGTGGAGCTGTTTAATCTCTACAGCGTCAAGGACATGACATTTAACCCCCCTGTAGCTCCGCCCGGCAGCAAGAAGAAGGTAAACAAATCTAACGCACCTTCATACGTCTTTACCTGTCAATCAATACGACTCGTTAATCGATCATATTTACATTTGTATATTTATTTATTCCTTCAGGACCGGTTTGTGTTCGGAGCGACGCTGCTGGACGCGGAGCTACAGAGACGAGCTGAGAGAGTCCTCACTGTGCCTGAGGAGACAGAGCTGGACTTTACTACAGCACACTGACACACACAGTTCTAATCATACGTTCATGTTTCAGGTTCAACTTGTTCTTCACATTAAAATACATATTTTATTGTTATTTCTAAATCTCCTGTTGTACTTTGATTGTGTGAGTAAAGAGTTTCTGGTAATACTGTGTTGACTCCAGAGTATTAATACTTCTGATATGTGAAACAAAGGAACATCTGGAGATGGTGAGAGCTTTACTTGTTGTTAAAGAAACACTGATCTATGATCAGATCTTTATTGTGGAGGAACATTAACAGCTTATGAAGTCACACTGAACGATGACCTCATACGCACGCCCCCCTCTCAGTGCACAGTACATGTTCTGGTTCATATAAACAAGTCCTTCTGGGTCTCAGGACGTCTCACAGCCTCCGGTCTGGACTCTGTAGTCTGGATGAGTTGTGTGTGGTTCTGGTCTGGACCTCACAGTCCGTAGTGCGTCTCTGTAGGTCCGTCCACTCTGTGATGAGGCGATGGCGTGTTTTGGAGGAAGGCGGGGGAGGTCTCCTCTCTTCACCTGTAGAGCACAGGTGATCTCCAGACTGAACCAGCGGGCGTCCTCCAGCTCTGAGGTCCACGGACACCTGGACACAGCAGGTCACATGACTGAGTACTACAGGTAGTACCTCAGTTATTAAGGTAAAACTGTAGGAAACACTGTGGACCTCCAGACCCACCTCCCTACTCAGGGTCTCCTCCAGAGTCTCACCTGGAACCACCACAGAGAGACAGACAGGTGATTAAACAGGTAGACTGACCCATGTCACAGAACCCGACCAAAGCGTTGTACATCCCCCGAGGGAAGGTCGACTGGCGGCCTAATAAACACCGTTTCCCATCAGACACCAGGACGATCACCACCGGAGACATCTGGAGGAAGACCAGCAGAAACCAGTTTAAACTACAGAAACCACCAAGAACAAGGAAACAAGCTGGTTTGGAGGTGATGAGATCTGGTCTACAGCTGGTTTAGATCTGGTTCTGGTCTACAGTGGTACCTTGGGGTAGTACATGATACCGGACCGGCTGCAGACTCGCTGACTTCCTGCCTGGTCCCGGTGGGTCGGTTCTCCTGTGGAGCTGCAGAGGCCACTGGTTTGATGCCAGCGTAGCAGAGCCTGACCCTGAAGGACGGAACCAGAACCAGATCAGGACCTGATACCTGAAGAGACTCTGAAGGTTCATTCTACATCAACAGGTCAGTCAGATTAAGACACACACAGTACAGTTGTAGTTACCCACCTTGGCCACTAGAGGTGCCTCTGCTCCCGTCAGAAGAAAGAAGGCCTTCCTCAGATTGATGAAGGTTCCTCCACACAGTTCTTCTACTGAGGCCTAATCCAGTTCTCCTAGAACCCCAAACAGACCAGAACACATAGAACCCACAGTAGACTGGTGCATTCAGAGACTCACTAAACTGTACGGCGTTCACAGCGTTTCAATGCAACAGTATTTTAGTTTAAATGTTCTTACCGACGTCCAGACAGAACTGGACCTGGTTCTGTTCAGAGCAGCCAATTAGAACCGACTCCTTCAGCAGGGTTCTGTCAGAACCGAGTCTCTCCAGGACCGACTGCACCTCTGGAACCCACATCACAGAATGTTTGTGCCTCAGGTTATGGTTCTTTCTGAGGTTCTACAATGTGACTGTCCTTTTCGTTCTTGTTTTTCACTGACACTCTCTTCAAAGTTCTCTAACTGTAATGATCTCCACCTGTGGTTCTCCACTAGTTCTTTTTGCTGAGGTTCTCTGAACAATACCTGTGGCTCGATACTTATGGTACTGAGGTTCTGTACCTGTGGTTCTCAGTGTAGCTGGTCTTAAGGTTCCCTGCTGAGTGCGTTGTAGCAGAGGAGACAGACGGTGGAACGGGAACATGTGACCGTTCTGCAGCGCTGCAGCACACAATTCATCATCCTCCTTCAGCCTGTTCACGTACCTGAGGATCAATCCACCAATCAATCCAACAATCAGTTACTGAACCTCATCCTGGAGACAAAGTTTGAGCAGCAGCAAGCTGACAGACGGCCGATCTTCAGGGGTCTCAACATGGTCGTCACTGAACCAGTCTGAAGCCTAGCTTAGCACTAAGACTGGAAACAGGGTGCTTATAGTGGAGGATATGTTGAGAACATGTTGATGTGTAGAGAACCACAATGCAGTATGCACAATCCGCTTTAAATATCTGGCATAAAAATAAACCAAAATAAATAATAAATGTTTGACTTTGTCTTCAGATGACGGGGTGAACGCTGACTCATCAGACCGTCTGGACTACGGTGTTTTTCTATACCTGCAGTCTCTTCTTCACGGAGTCTGACCTCTTCTTCTTCTGTTAGGACGTGTTTCCGCTCCCAACAGGAAACAAGTGAAGAAGAGAAACTTTTCACTTTTTATTCTTTTATAATTCAGATAATCTACAATAATGATCATATATAGTGAATATCGTGAACAGTTTACATGTATTATACTTTATGTTTACATAAATTAAATGAAGTAATAAAATGTGTTTTTATAATATATAATATGAATCATTTCATTTCAGACTCCATTCATAAAACTCACGTTTTTATCAATGAATGAACGCTTTAATAACAGTATCACCTTAAAATGTATTAAGTTTTAACAACTGTTTTAATACTAGAGGACTACATCTCCCATCAGGCTGTTCGGCGCCACACGTGTGTTGCAGAGCTTCTGTTAGCATCACAGATAGTTTATCATCATGTCGGTGTTTATGGATCTAAACCTGAACTTCACCGCCGAGAGGAGCCGCCTGAAGAGTCTCATAGAGACCGCGGCTCACCGTGAGTCTCCTCATCTAAAAACACTCTTTAACAGCCGGAGTCTGGTGCCTGTTGACCGGGGCGCTAACAGAGCTAGCACCGGGACAGAGTCTCATAAAGA